ATGAGAAATTTCTGTTAGGTTGCGCTCTTCAATCGCCTTCGCTCTCAGACTGTCAGCACTCGTTACTTGCATGTGGATAATGGTGCGTTCCATGCGAGTTCAACCAAATGGGGAGCTTTCACCATTCATTTATGTAAGTTAGCGCTTATTTTCATTGAATTAGCTCTCGTGGCTGAGACTTACTCGGACTTGCGCCAGTTTCAGTTGACGACGAACCAACAGCCCCAGAATCTGAAAATTTCACCGTGAAAGATGGTTTCGTATACTATGGCTCAGTTGTGAAGCTGGTAGATAGCGTGACAGGCATAGCACTACCTCGTCTCAAAATACGAAAGGTTTGTGTCGGAATACGCCATAGAAATTACATTACTAACCGGTTTCAAAATTTCTAGGTGGATAAGCAGCATGTTATCCTTGACGCTACGACAAATGAAGAGCCAGTGTCGCAACTACACAAATGTGCCTTTCAAATGATTGACAACGAAACTGTCTACCTGTGCCTCAGTCACGACAAGATTATTCAGCATCAGGTTGGTCGTAGACCTTCAGAGATCTCCTTCAAGCCCCGTTACGTCTCAACGACGCCTTTCATGAGGCCTCATCGATTTTTGCCCACTTCTCGGCTACCGTATACGTGCCCTCGTTGCTTGTGTTTACGCACTCGATACATTATCCTCGCGACCTAGTCGGCTGGCTATTTTCTCACATATCTCAATCATTTGCTGATTTCTCCTCTTCCATGTAATGAGTTGCACACCAGCACACAACGATGGTGGCGTAATCAGGGCACGTGGTGCAGTGGGGACCAGCAAAGGGGACATCTTGGCCGCTGGTTAGAGGTGGGAGAGGGTGGGGGGGGGTATTTTTACCTTGTGGGAGATGTTTTCGGCTACCGACTTTTCTCCGTTTTTCCCATTCGCTTGCGCTATGTACTCATCCCCCCCCCCCTTCGCCCCCGCTCGACTGCACTTTTTTTGAGGAAGCCGGACTTCCCAGGAAAAAGACTTTCCTGGAAAGTGGTATAAGATTGGGAGAATCTGGGAAAATGGAATGTAGAATGGGGGATAAAGGCGAGGGTCATACTGGAGGACGAATCTTCAGGAGTGGGGTTTTATTTCGGTCGCTGGGAAGGAGGGAAGGGATCGTGTTTGCGCTCGTGAAAAATGTTTTCGGTTGTTGCCTTTCTCAGTTTCACCCGCTTCGCGTGCGCTATATACCCCTGCTTCCCCCTTCCCCTCCACCGCCCCGCTCGACTATAGTTCTATGAGTAAGCTGCAGAATTTTAGAAAAACCACTCCGGAAAAGTGGAAAAGTGGTAGGAAGTTGGAAGAATTTCGGAAGATGGGAGCTAGCATGGGCGATGGGAAAGGCGCGGCGCCGGCGTCAGAATTACAGGAGGAAATTTAGGGGTGTGGTCGCATTTTGGTCGCTATGGGAGAGGGTGTAATGTTTTCGGGCGTTGACTTCCTCAGTTGTTCCTGCGCTGTATGTCCCTCCTCCCCCTTCTCCCCATCCCACCCCCGCTCGACTGCAGTTCTTGGGAAAACTGGAAAATTTCTGAAAAAATCTCCGAAAAAGTGGTAAGCAGTCGGGAGAATTTAGGAACATGGTAGGTAAGGTGGGGCATGGGAAAGAGGATTGCACCAGAGTAAGGAATTCCGGAGGGGGAGGGGAGAAGATCATACTTTGCAAATTTTTTCCCCAACGACAGGAAGTGCCCTCGTCCTAATACATGCAAAGACATTGACCTTTCTGTTGTTCAGGCAACTCCAATTGATGCGACTCATCACCAAATCAGCGACGGTGCTGCATGGACCATCATTTCTACAGACAAGGTACTACTGGAAGTTTTGTTTAGTCACTCCACCACTGCTTCGTGCTCTATATTTCACAATTTTTTAGGCTGAGTACCGTTTCTTCGAGGCAATGGGTCCTGTATCACAACCGATTACGCCGGTGCCAGTTGTGAATGGTTTGGATATCACGGGCAGCGATTCAATGGCTCGCATAGAGCTAACTGGCTATAATATGAAACCAAATTTGAAAATCTGGTTTGGTACCACTCCAGTGGAAACCATTTACAGGTGAGGTAATATTTTTCAGTGGTGTACAGTGATAAATACCTTCGGAATTTTTACAAATGGAAGAAAGAGAACACGAACCCTCAGATTCCAAAGAAGAAGCCTCAGACCTATAGCCCACAAGAGCTCTCGGCGGGGGCGGGGGGGGGGGGGGGGGTGATCTAAGGGTCCTTACCTAGCGTGGACGCTCGAAGACAAACTCTTCTCTCCAGCTCAGATCCCGAAGGTCGATGGCGCAGACTAGCGATGAATGTGTTGGCATGAAGTCCCCAGGAATGTTTCCGAAGCTTAAAAATTCTGATAACTAAAGATGCTGACGGACATGTACGCTAGTTCTCTCTGTCCCCGTCGTTTTCAGGCATTTTCTGTTCTTACCGGTTTTTTTTTTCAAGAGTTGTGTTCGGTTTCTAAGAAAGTGCTGAATTTAATCCTAAAGTGCAGTGGTAGCAGAGCCTAGAGAATGGGAAAAGGAAAAAGTCAGCTGCCTCAGATATTGGGCGTTGGAAGAAACTTACACGCAAACAGTTTTGAGTACCAACCCTCTGAACCCCGACTCTCTAGATGTGACGAGTCAAAATGTTCGTTGTGATAGTTGGACCCATCTGAGCTTACTCGTAACTCTAAGCCCGAATGCTCTTTAGGAAAAAGGCTTATTACATCTAGAGTAATGTTCGTTTAAAGGAGGAACCCCATTGGCTATTCCCCAACCTAACGCCCTAACCGTAAGTCTGACTTTTTTGAGGTCTTGCATCGGTCTGTACCCTGACTTTGCCCTAGTTCTTTCCAATGGGATACACGCATGAGCTCTGCTTTTGTTAATACATTTTAGGACAAAAGGCGGGTTCACCACGCCCGCAGTTCGGGTGTGAAATCTCGCGGTCGGGCTCGCGCCCGTCAACCAATTAGAAAGAAAGAAAAAGGCATGAATTGAAAACTGCTACAAAACTTAGATTGTCCGAAGCCTCGTGCCCTCCGGAGACGAAGAATGGGTACCAGAACGTCTGGAAGGATAAAAACGCTAGTCATTATATAAGCCACAAGCATTCAATGAGCCGCTACGGTTTTGAATGGAAGTTAAATACGTGCCGCATCCCAGAAAGGGTCTGATAACGGCGACCTGATCATCCTTTAGATATTTGAACAGGACCTATTTTTCCCACTTTGGGCCGGGTTTCAGCGCTCACTATGTGAATGCTAGTTGAATGATACAATGTTAATGATACAATAAATAAACAACTGTGAGTGTTTAGAATAGGAAGTACATGCAATTCATAGGACCCGTTCCGGGATGGCCTTTTTACTTGAATTCTATTTAGGCGGTACATTTTGCAATATATGATGGACTTGTGGGACGAGAGCGTGCGCAAATCAGATTTTCCAGCCTTTCTGAGGGGCGTGATGCTGGACAGCCTAACTTGGTGGGAGGGTCAGAATGCCTGAGCAGGGTCCTATTTTGGGTTTAAACTTAGAAGTGTGCGTGAGATAGCAGAATTGCTTCCGATGGTCCACTTTTGCCTAAGTTAGCAGGAAGTAGCCATAACAAAAAAATCACAAAAAAAACTATCGGATATATAGGATGGGATTCCTTTGGTAATGCCATACCTCAATGAGAGTACGGCACTGAAAGTTAACAGTATAGTCAAAAGCTCACCACTCCCCATACAGCTCATATTTCGTCCACCGCCAAATCTAAAAAGACTACTAACGTACTCCAGGCCTTATGAAGAAAAATGCGGACGAGGGAAACTGCGTCTACTGTAATGATAGAAAAAATATGCCAACTTAGAGGAACGGTATATTTGATAGAATGCCAGGGATGCGGGCAAAAATATATCGGAGAGACAAAGAGGCCACTCTTCAAACGATTAGATGAACATCGCAGGGCCCTAAACAATCCAGCTTCATATCCGGATAACAGTCTCTCAAAGCACCGTACCAAAATGCACTTAAGAATCCTTCCCCACTTACCGTTACAGTATTACACCGCTCCATAGAAAATCCAGTGGAAAGGAAACTATTGGAATCACTGGAAATAAGAAATGAATAGTAAGGACGAGCGTTATTGTGAATCACTGGAAATAGAAATGTAATAGTAAAGACGAGCTACATAAACGCGCGGCAATCAGTTCACTGACTACATTGATAATGGTGACGCAGTGCGTATTCATTTGGTAGGGTCACAGTCAACACTGGAAGGCGCGGCTTTCGCAAGGAGCAGCGGAGGCGGATATTGGAGGAGAAGACCAGGTCAGAGTCCAGATTAGAGGCACCAGTGAAGGCAAGGTCAGGATTCGGTTGGAGGCGGCTAACTGTAGTATTTCAGATCGCTGAAGAAGGTGCTAGGCACCGAAATATTCGAAGGAAGTATTAGAAACAATAAAAAATTTTTGCAAGAACTTTTGGATTCTTTTGAGTCTTTTGAGTTTTTTGCAATAAATTTTTTGGTGCCTCTTTTCGTATTTCATATTCAAAAAAAGCTGTTCAGAGGCACTCCATTTTAAAGTTGCGATCAAGAATGTTTAGGCAGTCAGTGCAACCCGCTCATGTATTGATTTTCAGGTCGGACGAATCACTGACTTGCCAGGTGCCATCACACTCACTGGTAAAAAGCGAGGCTATCGGCTGGGATTACGGTGGTGAGGAGTCGGAGGTGCCGATTACACTCGTTCGAGACGATGGGGTGATTTATTCGACGCCCCTGATGTTCTCGTATAAAGCCCTCAAGGTTCAACCACGGCCACCTCGCTACGGGGAATCATTTAACTAGGAATGCTGTTATCCACAGTACTCAGCTTAGTGTCGAGTAGGTGACTGAATCGCTTATTCCTTGTCAAGGAGCACATAAAGAGTTCACTAGACAGATGCACAGTTGTAATGACTGACCTACGGTTATGTTACATGTTAACCCGTTGTTGATAATCTAAAGATTGATCTGCCTACGAGTCCTTATTTGGCTTCTATACTGACTATTTCGAGCAGGGCCATAATTTTTCCATAACTTTAACTATTCTGTTAGTATTTGGTGGTGTTTGGAAATTTGTTTTGGGATGATCTCCTAAGTGCATCAGACAACAAGTGAAGAGATGTGGCGCTTGTGAATCCTCAAAGAACCTGTGTTTTTCATATCGGTGTATCTATCTTACAAAGAGTAGATTTCTTTCTGTGGAGCAGTTTGACACTTTCCGACTGTTTATTTAAGACAGCAATGTTCAACATAGCCCTAATTCACTCGTTTGTTGTGCATTCAGTCTGCTCATTTTTATATTGTCAATTTTTCATTTGTAAATAAAAATTTCTGTCAATTATATTATGCATTGTAGTCCGCCTGTGAGCGTTCAGTGGAGCATAAAGCGCGACCTCGTTCATGGAGGTACATTCCGCCATGGAGACAAACTCTACACTCTCCTCCAAGGAACGGACCTTGCCATGTGGGAAGCGAGAGGGTCTCCATCTGCAGTAGCGTGTCACTTTCTCCACTTAAAAGTGCCCGGGAAGGGGGCTGTAGAATAGTGGCACCCGAGTGCCAGTCTCTATATGCCGCCCACACTATCCTCAACGTGCAACACTTGCGTCGAGGTCCTGCAGCGAAACGCGCACTCAGTGGCAGAGAATAACCAGAAGTCAGAGAGAGCGCAGGCAAGTAGCAAGTCTGGCTATGGAAAGGCGTGTGGCTGGCGAGTGATAGCGCGGGTGGATATAGAGACGGCTGCCGGGTATCTCTGCCTTCTAGCCCCTTCCTTTACACTTTTAACTGGAGAAGGGCACGCTACTGCAGCTGTGGACCTATTCTCCCCACACACGGCAAGGAGCTGGCGGAGACGAGCGCGCAGTTCGCCTTCAAATATAAGCCGTATGCTCACTTTAGATGGATTTTTCCCATGTGTGAGGTGAACGAACCCGTAGTTGCAAGAGTTTGTCATTTTTGCCGGGTAGAAATACGTAGGAATGAAGCAGGAAGGGCGTCCTGTAACAACACGCTCTTACATGACGCCACACGCACGCTACACGCGACGCCACGAGCCCTACACCGAGGATAGCCAAGCGTACTAGTTGCCTACGTCTTTCATGTTGCCTGGGTCGCCGTTATTCTCTATATTCGCCCGTTTGCCTGAGGAAATACTTGTCAGAGCATTTACCAAAGGTTAGTTATTATAATTCAATAATGCTCACATCCTCTCGCTCAGGTGCTGGGGCGTAACAAGGGGCTGGGCTGCCAACCCGTTTTTGCACCAGTTGTAGTCGCTGGACCATTTCAACAAAAGGTGTGGAGAACAGACTAGCACTGCGCCAAACTCAGCCACTGTAACGCCTCAGTATCCACTGCGAGAAAGACTGTAAATCTATGAGTTTTTATGCAAATGAACAGGGCGGTGGTAAGGTACCGTATCGCCCGACGAGTGGCGGTATCAACAAAAGGGTGCACATAGTCTGCAGGCTCACCTAAGTCACATGAACGCATAGGCACATGATTATTCATACCTGGCGGACGGAAAGCTGCAGAGGACCGAATGTAAGGAAAACTACAAATATTGAAACAATTGATTAGCAATATCAATAGTTAGCATGAACTCGTAAGTACGTAGATGACTAAATAATACATCTCAAACATTCGTGCGTATCGACCTTTCCAAACCCTAAACAAACATCTGCTTGCATGGACAAAAATCACCTAAAATCAGAAATTACCCTTTCCAACGTCTCTGCGTAGCATAATGCACGGCGCACACTCGGACCAAATCAATCGATGATGACTAAATTGTGCTTTGACTCAGTTCAATGGGAGTATGTGTTTTCGAGGTATATTGAAGTTCGCGAATGAGTATCCTTACAATGGCACAGAAGGCGACTATTTTGAGTGGTTCAGAATCTCGCCCAAGGGTGACTCATCTAAAATATCTTCTAAACTAGCGAGTCTTCAGTGAAACTGTAAGCTTATTGAAAAGAAGAAATATTGGCGTTCCGACGGCGTTTTTAATTTTGCAAAAGATTGCGTTCAAAAAAAGTTATTTTCGTCTGAAGCATAAAAACCCGCTCGCGATTTACCACTAGCGCGTCCGTAACCCATCCGAAATATTTCACGAACGGGGGAAGATTCAGATTGCGAGTGGGTAGAAAACGCAACAGTAGAGACATTGCTTCAACATGCCTCCTTTTATTTCTTAAAAGCCCCACACCTAAAAAGCCATAACTCCCAGAAGAAGCCCCAGCGATTTCCACCCAGCCAACAGATCTGCTCCACCGCTAATTTGCCATGGAATCATAACGCGGCCGCAAGCGCTTGCAGTCGTTACTTATCTAATCCTTCTCGTCAGAGCAAATCAGGACACATCGTTGTTGGGGAATCCCCAATAGGGGGAGGTCGTATTTAGCCCCAGGTAAAGGGGACTATATGTATTTGGCTTAGATAACAGTCGTATGTTGATAGTTATTCTTGTTTTGTTTCCAAACGAGCACATAGAAAAGGGGGTGCGGTCGTACTTTGTCATTGTTGAGGGGAATGGTGCAGTGCTTAATTAGCGTTTTTGTGAATTTATCGCCGTGATTTTTCTCTGTTTCATGATACTGTACCCGCCCCCCCCCCCCGTCGCTCGACTGGCTCGATTTGGAACGAGAAGAGACACAGGGCCAGAGGGGGGGGGGGAGGTTCGTACGGACTCGACTAAAATCCCCAACCAATGATGTGCCCTGGAGCAAAGAATTAGAGCCGGAAAGGGGGGAGGGAGTCGGTCATACCACCATCCTTTTCCGAGAGGGGGGTTGTGCTGACGCCGCCATTTCACACATTACGAAATACCTTGGTTATGGTTAGGTGAGCGCATTATAAGGGAATATGTATCCCTATCTCTAAAGCTTCACATCCGCGCTCTGTTGAAAGTGACACAGACCGTGACACAGTGATTTTCGGGACAGCAGGGTAAAAGGATTGAATGGAGAAGCAGTCCCTGTGTGTAGTACTTTTAAAGAAGGTACCTGAAGAAGGTGCTAGGCACCGAAATATTGCAGCTAATTCATTTTGAAAAACTTTTCTTTTTTTGACTTTCGGGTTTTTTGAAATAAATGTTGGAGTTTCACATTGTTACCACACATTCAAAAGTGACACACTTTTAGGCTTTTAGGTGTGTACCAAGTGTAGCATCGCGACGGACAAAATGGTGGTCTCAATACGACATTTCCCCAGAAGGGTCTCGTTGCGACTCCTTTCAGGTCAAGACACGTCATCGTTCTGGAAATTCCGAAGGAGGGGGCGTATTTACCCTCAAAGGAGGCGGGGGAGCTCGTAGGCGCAGGCTCGTTCAGAGGCGGGAAGAGCAGCGATGCTCAGATGTTGTAGAGTCGTTAAATGATGAAAGAGTTATTCATGGTGAGCCTGAAGAGACACCCGGGCAGACGCAAGCTGCAAGCTCAGAAGTGAGGAATAGGCGATAACAGGAAGAACGGCGGCCACCCATTGATAAACGAACGAGATACGGTTTACGCTAGGACCTTTCTGAAACTGGAACCCTCTTGATAACTTTAGTGAAATATGAATTCTAAGCATACTCAGGGTTCAAACGAAGTGAAAGTGGTAGTGCGGCGGAGGCTTTCCGTGACTTTCGAAACCGTCCCCGACAAAACAATAGCGCGGAATTTTTTGAGTTGGCGTCACGTTCAGCTTCAGGGCCCTCGTTCGTGATGACGCAAGACGCCACGCTAATATGAAGACTACCAAAAATGTTGAGAGCAAGCCTGGGAGGCCACATTCTGTCCGTCATGCTCTTCTATCATAGCTCCCTCTGAACACCGGTCGTTTCGCCCCTAAAAGATCTACTGGTTGCGAGAACTTCCAGCAAGCTCGATGGCAATAAACAAGAGATTGCCAGCTCTTCAACTCGCAGTCTCCCCAATTCTTGGAAAAGTTTGTTGCTGACCTGTCCATCAAGTGAAGCACTGCAATGGCTAGCAGATTCGATGACATTGTTGTTTCTGATTCCTGTTCTAGGTTGAGTGAGAAAAGAATGAAAAATTTGATGAGACCTTCTTACCGAAATAAAGGAGACGTCATCATGTGCAGGTATGAGGAAGAAGGAATGGGTAGAGAGTTAGAGCTGCGAGAAAAAACCTGGAACAAGCCACAAAACCGCGTTTTAAACAGTTCTGAAGCTATTCAACAGCAGTACAGTTGAAAGGCGAGCAAACAGCGGGAATTCAACAGGAAAGAACTATACAGCGCTCTGAATTTGGTTTGCTTACTATTAGATGACTAGAGCCTTGGTCACCCGTGGAATCGACTCCACAAGAGCTTCAAGGGTATCCATGAATATCACTACCGAATTTTTAAAATGCATGGAACTTCTCATCCGTGTTGGTGGTCTTCTTTCCTTTGACTCACGCTTCAAGCCATCTTAAAGATGACTGATGGCATTCAGGTGAAAGCTGTTACTCGGTCATTTTGTCATCAGGATGCTGGCCCTGAGTGCCGGAACCTAGATTTCACATACTCCTGTAATTGATTAGGGTCGCTTTTAATGATTTGTAATAGTTCTCCCAGGCGTATTCTGCCTATATTCACAATATTTCGATACACAAGGGAAAATCAGATAATAATTTGATAGAAAATTCTGTTTTTTTGCGCTATTCTCAAGTTTTTTTCCGCAGCTGTATAATCGAAGGACCGCGGTATTACGATCGTGATCAATGTCACTGCAGAGGTTGCTTGGTTAACCAAGCACTGGAGACTACTTTCAATTCTAGCATGACAATACAATTGGGGATGAGTTCCTTCCTGTT